GTACAGTTTAATTATGTCATAAATAATTCATACATAAAAAGTTCTCTTAATACCTCTGTGTCAATAATTTTAAGCTATTAACTAATGAATTTCACACAGTTTTATAAATAAAAAATGAAGAAATAGCTAGAGAAATACATCTCTGATATCACAAAGACTTGATATATTCTTTTATTTATCACACCCTCTACATGGACTGTATTTTCACTTAACCAAAGCTTGTGAGAACAGAATGGGTCAGCAAACCAAAGAAATACAATAAAGTTTCTTATGCTGATAGTGTGTATGTAGTAATAAACAATAAAGTTTCTTATGATGATAGTGTGTATGTAGTAATAAACAATAAAGTTTCTTATGATGATAGTGTGTATGTAGTAATAAACAATAAAGTTTCTTATGATGATAGTGTGTATGTAGTAATAAACAATAAAGTTTCTTATGATGATAGTGTATATGTAGTAATAAACAATAAAGTTTCTTATGCTGATAGTGTGTATGTAGTAATAAACAATAAAGTTTCTTATGATGATAGTGTGTATGTAGTAATAAACAATAAAGTTTCTCATCATAAGAAACTTTATTGTTTATTACAACATATACACTACCATCATAAGAAACTTTATTGTTTACTACAACATACACACTACCATCATAAGAAGCTTTATTGTTTATTACATATACACATCATAAGAAACTTTATTGTTTATTACATATACACTACCATAAGAAACTTTATTGTTTATTACAACATACACACTACCATCATAAGAAGCTTTATTGTTTATTACATATACACTACCATCATAAGAAACTTTATTGTTTATTACTACGTACACACTATCATCATAATAGTGTGTATTTAGTAATAAACAATAAAGTTTCTTATGATGATAGTGCGTATTTAGTAATAAACAATAATGTTTCTTATGATGATAGTGCGTATTTAGTAATAAACAATAAAGTTTCTTATGATGATATTATGTATGTAGTAATAAACACATCTCTGTATCTGTTGGAAAATATTTCTGTTTAACATAGTTCTTGAAAGAGAGCTTTTGTTTTGTATGATACATACACATGATAAAGAAGGGTTATAAATAATTATCTCTGCGAGAAAATATTTCATTTTTACATATCTCTATAGCCATTCCTAGGTGGGCCAGAGCTCTGCAACCTGGTTACAGGCAAAATAAAGCTGGGTAAAGAGACACTGGCTACGATTGAGGGTCACTGGGATGCCGAAATTTACTTCAGGGACAAAAGAATAGAGGTTTGTTTCTTTCCAATAGTTTCAAAGTATATGGAAGTTTATCAGTTGTTTTAAGCACGGAGTTGTGGAAGTAAATGTATTATCTGCTGTAGTATGAAAGCAGAAACTTAAGAACACTAAGTTAAAACTATTATAATCTTTTATGCCAAAACTTTGTGTTAGTCATTTTGTGGCATCCAGTTTTAAGGATGCAATAAGCTGTAGTCCTTTTATTACTCAAATTATTTACACTTTTTTATTATATATAGGATTTATTTATTTACTGATAGGATGTTTCTACACATATTTTCTGAACCTACTATTTGAATCTCTGCATTTTTTAAATATTTTTGGTTACAACATTTCACACTTAATTATTAAGTGTGAAATGTGTCTTGGATTATTTTTATGATAACAAAATTTGTGTTGAGAACGATACCTGCTGAATCTGTTGATGTCACATATTCATAAACCTGTAAGCTGTAACTCTGCTATAACATGAAAATACATCCCAAACAACACTACTAAACTGTTGATGTACATTGATAAACCTGTAGATTGGAACTATCCTCTAACATGAAAATACTTCCCAAACAACAGTACTAAACTGTTGATGTCACATTGATAAACCTGTAGATAGGAACTATCCTGTAACATTAAAATACTTCCCAAACAACAGTACTAAACTGTTGATGTCACATTGATAAACCTGTAGATTGGAACTATCCTCTAACATGAAAATACTTCCCAAACAACACTACTAAACTGTTGATGTCACATTGATAAACCTGTAGATTGTAATTATCCTGTAACATGAAAATACTTCCCAAACAACACTACTAAACTGTTGATGTACATTGATAAACCTGTAGATTGGAATTATCCTGTAACATGAAAATACTTCCCAAACAACACTACTAAACTGTTGATGTCACATTGATAAACCTGTAGATTGTAATTATCCTGTAACATGAAAATACTTCCCAAACAACACTACTAAACTGTTGAT